CATTTTTCCTTCCCCTTCTTTCCTTTCCCCTGCCCCTCCCACTACCCCTACCCCTTTGGACCTTTTCTTCCTATTTTGCATTGTCGATTATTCATTCTAATCACTGGTACATTTTAGGTATACAGTATAATGACATTCATCATAGGTCAGTTTTTAAGCAAAAATTTGGCAGTTTTGTAGTGCCATCTAGTGGATAATTTGTTGTGAACAAGAAATTTTAAAAATACCAAATACCAAAAATACTAAAAAGATGTATTCTATTACTTATAAAACCACTGAATGCACATAATTTTAATTTCAGATTTTATAAATTAGGATAAAGTAACCAAATTTTAGGATTGTTTTCTATTGCATTAAATAACTCATTTTAATTAGCTAAGAAATTCATTAAGTTTAACCAAATAATTTGGAATCATTCTCTTTTATCCAAAAATTGAAGTTCTCAAAACAAATTTAAAAATCTACAACACATATTTTTCATTAACTGAAACTTTAAAATTACAGTATTCATGAGAAGTGAGTTGATGATGGTATTAAATGTACAAGCACTAATAAAATGATTGTAATTTCTTACAAAATTACTTAGTTTGGAGATCATTTGATTTAGTACAAATATTTTAGGAAAATCTGGCATATTTTAGCATAATATTTGTGATGTTAATTTTGTAAGATTTTACTCTTCATTAATTTCAGCAACAAGACACCAATTTATATTCTATAGTTATTAAATAAAATACCTTTCTAGATAATCACATTTTTTTACCTCATCATTTACTGAATAGTATTCTGTGAGATGCTAAATGGACAGAAAAATGTTTTGTCCAGGATGCAAAGATGTGAGCACAGTTGAAAATATAGAAGAATGTGACAGCTAGAGTTTGTGTGTACTGAAAATTTGAAGTCTTTCTTTGATCTTCCAGAGCTTAGTAATAATGAGAGCTGTGTGACCATGTGAGGGATTGGTCTGTTAGATATGATTTTGTTTTGTTTTTTATTAGATGTTCTCAAACAAACTTTGGGTGATGACAATGGTGATGATGATGGTGATGATGATGATGACGATAATGAAGATTCAAAAACACTACCATCGAATGCTTATGCATCAAAAATTGTTCTCACTGCTTTTCATAAAATACATTAATTAACCATCTCCACAAACATATCAGATGGTAGTATGAGTTTTCTCATTTCGCAGAATAGGGAGAGAAGGTATAGTGTGTCAAAATCACATAGCTAGGAAGAGGTGTTGGAAGGACTTGAATCTGGGTCTGTCTACATACTCTTAATTTTGCTCTGTTGTTGATTGCAGCAATGATGAATGAGTTTCACTTTTATTCATTCAATCACAAATACAGTAAGTTTCTAGTATTATGTGTGTGACTGAATTAGAAAGCCCCCTATATTATCAGACCACAGTG